GGTCGGAGCAAGTTTTTGGGCAGATTTCTACCTTCTTGATCTTTGGAGCCATACCACTAGTGATCCAAATTTGATCAATTCTGGTCCAGGTCATCATTGCTTGGGAGAAAAAGGTTCCCTCTCTCTCCAGAGGGTTCCTTGTTCTCCATATATCTATCAAATCCATGTTTTCCGTCATTTCAAAAAAGGTCTTAGGAAGTCTCCCTTCCTTGGTGACTGTTGCTCTTTGTGCCTTGTCCATATTGGTGGAAACCACACCGTTCATGTCTCCCATAATTATCATATTGTAATCCAAATAGTCCATTAGAGTTTCATGAAGTCTCTTAAAGAAGTCAGATTTACCTTCATTTGGTGCGTAAACTCCAACAACCAGAAATTTTTCTCCTTGTACTTGTATCTCCACTGCCAGATATCTCCCTTGTTCATCTTTAAATATCATTTTTGGGGCCCATTTCTCTTTTACATATATTACGACTCCTCTTTTTTTTACTTTATCTGATGAAATAAATTCTTGTCCTAGTCTTTTATTTGTAAGTAATCTCCTATGGGCTCTGGTTATATGAGTTTCTTGTAGGCATATCAAGTCCAGTTGTTCTCTATTCAAGATGTGAAAAACTTGTCTTCTCTTCAAAGGCCCATTAAGCCCATTGCAATTCCAGCTAAGGAATTGCAAGGCCATTTTGTTATTTCTCTGACACTCCTCCAACAGCTCCAAGTTGTTGCTCTTCCTCTGAGGGTGGTGGTTTGTGTCCACGCGAAAGATTCAGAATGTCTAATGCTCTCCTCTGTTCTGCAATTGGGTCCACTGTCCCCTTCTGCAGGTCCTCTCGATTTCTTTCCAAAAATTTGTCTTTGTCTTGTATAGTCTTTATTTTCACCTTCTTTGCCTTGTAGTCAAAGGACAGTCCCTGTGGAAATTCCCACCTGAAGCGGATGGAGTTTTTCTTTAACAAAAGAGCCAGATCCTTATAGAAGTTTCTCAAATCCAAAATATATTTTGGAATGTCTTTAAAAATCTGTGCAGCTGAGTTTCCAATTTGCAGGGCCTTTTCAAAATGTAGTCGTAGTATTTTGTCTCTTTCTTCCTTAGATCTAAGTGTAATCAGGCAGTCTCTCGGGGTCTTTCTGTCTTGCTTTTTGCCCAGTCTAAAAGCTGTTGTAATTTTAAATTCGTCTTCCTCCAGATCCCAGCAGTCTGCAAACTCCTGTGTTAAGAACTCCGCAAGGTTGTCGCTTTCGTTCTCTGGTATCAGTCTCAATTTCAGATTTCTCTCTTTTCTCTGTAATTCCCACAGAGCCAAAGTTGCGTCGTGCTCATAAACCTTCTTAGCAATCGGTTCTAAGTTCTCCTGTGTCTCTCCAGCAATGGCTCTCGCTTCTTCAGCAATTTTACGTGTAGTGGAGTTTTCCTCCACCAGTTTATTTATAGATTCTGTATTCTGATCTAGTCTTGCTGATATTTCTGTTAATTTTTGTGTATTTTCTGAAGTCTGTTTTGTCAGAGACTCCAGGGATTGATTTACCTTAAGCAGGGCCTCTGTCACAGCTTCCATAGAGACAGCTGTCACTTTTTCTTGTCCTGTTGTTACTACAAGTCCAGCAGTTGCCCCTGTGATTGAGCCTCTTTTCTTTGGTTGTTGTTGTTGCTGCAGCTGGTACTGTTGTTGTTGTTTGGTCTTGGCTCTTGTGACTATCTCTTCTTGTGAGCCACTCATGTCAAGGTCGTTTCCCACGGGAGCTATTTCCCGATGGAAAATTCCACTGTCTTGAGCTGTGTCGGCCTTTGCTTTACCCTCTAGGGGGAGCAAATCAAAATGTCCAGATACAAAGACAAAGTCCAAATACAAAGGCAAAGTCAATGTCCAAATACGTAGAAGGAAGGAAAAAAAGTTTAAGGCAAGTATAGCAGGAGGCTTGTAAGTGAAAGTTGCCACAGTTTCCCAATAGATACTATCTCAGCCTGCTCTGGTATACTGTAGCCAAACAGTGCAGAAACTTTGTGTCACAATGTAACTTTCACAGGAAAAAGTCAGTTCAGTGTCCTGTTGTCTTACTAGGCAGACCGTTTCAGGTTACTGAGACAGCAGAGAATTTTTCTTTTAATAGATCATGCAGTTGCCAAAATCTCTCTTGGCTCCCCTCTGCCCTGCTAGCTAGAGGGGAGATCTAAAGTCCAGATGTCAGGTTTAATTAATCAAAAGCAGTGTCTCTTACGGATGCAGCTTTACAGTTCCGTTGCTTTCACTTTCATGCAGTCGGGGGAAGGCAGACTTCCTTAATTTTTACCTCCCCGTTTTCCACCAAATTTCCAAAATTTAATTCCAAATAGACGTTCCGTTTTACTCACGGGTTTTTTCTGTCCGAAATTTACAGGAAGGAATCGGCGCTCTCCGCTAATAGCGACGCGGCTTCACCCTGCGGGCTGGGTAGCGATTCTCAGCACCGCGCTCCCCCGATGTCGTTCCAGAGCCTTTAAAAAGGCTCTTTCTGCGGTAAAGGGGGGGCGCTCCTGGTGCCCACCGAATCTCCTCGTTCACAGGCTTCCGCGCCTGTGATTTTAGGGGTCCCCCGCTTGCCGTAGCGGGACAGACCCGAACTCGCAGGGCAGTCCTTTTCCGGAGCTCGGAAAAAGGACCGCCATTAGCGCTGGCGCCGACCGGAAGTCTCTGGTTTGGTAACTTCAATTACAACCTTGCAACGTCTTCCCATGGAGTGAACCAAGTTTTTTTTAATTTCTGCAGCTATCATAATGTGAAACCAAGATTGAATTATTTATATTAATTGCTGGGTTGCCATACAACCCCAGATCATAACACTTAACTGGGTGTTTCACAGTAGGTGTAATACATGTACAGTGGTATCTCTGGTTAAGATGATGATGATGAGGATAGTTTATTTATACCCAGCCCATCTGGCTGGGTATCCCCAGCCACTCTGGTTTGCTTCCAACAAAAATATTAAAATACAATAATCCATCAAATATCAAAAGCTTCCCTAAACAGGGCTGCCTTCAGATGTCTTCTAAAAGTGTGATAGTTGTTTATTTCCTTGACATTGTAGCTTTCTTTGACTTTACCAGTCTAAAGTGGTGGGGTCTGCGTTGCTCCCGGGAGGGAGAAAGGAAGTCAAATGGCACCGAGGTTGATTCAGAGAAAGCGTTTATTCTGCTCTCTGGATAGCAGAAGGCACTTGCGTGGTCAGTTCACAGCAAGTCCAAAGAAATGAGAGATATATGCAGTATATATATCCTCCAGGCACCCTCTCCCCCCTTCCCCAGGAATCCAGCCACGTCAGCTTATACACGCACATTGACATCACAGATGTTCCTGCTCCTGTACTCTCAACCATAAAAGGGTGTTCCTGTTCCTGTACTCCTTATCTTGGGGTAAGTAGGTCACCAACTCTAAGAGCACTCCTGGAGCCGTTCCCGGACTAGGTCTGTGCGTCAGAGTGTGGTCAGGATGTAAGATAAGACCCCGATGTGCCATCCCTGCTCCACTCAGAACTGACAAGGCCATCCGTCATTACCAGCCTTCATGGACTGATAAGGGAGAGCGCTTTGTTTATACAGCTGGGATCCTGTTATGCATTTGCTCAACAGCTCAAGTTAAAGCATTTTAGAAATGCTCCCTTGGAGAAGGAAAAATGCGGATTTTGGGGCCCGTTTCAGACTAACCGCCCCGTCAGCTTTTAGGTTTTGGAAACTCATTGCTTCAACATCTGATTGGAGGGAAATCAATGGGGTGGGTTCCACTACCGAGAAGGCCCTCTGCCTGGTTCCCTGTAACTTGGCTTCTTGGAGTGAGGGAACTGCCAGAAGGCCCTCGTAGCTGGACCACAGTATTCAGGCTGAATGATGGGGGTGGAAACGTTCCTTCAGGTATACTGGACCGAGGCTGTTTAAGGCTTTAAAGGTCAGCACCAACACTATGAATTGTGCTTGGAAATGTCCTGGGAGCCAATGTAGGTCTTCCAGGACCAGTGGTATATTGTCAGATTTAGCACTTCTCTCACACAAGACATGGAATGCTGGCAGTTTTACTAGTTGAGGTTTATTTAGAAATACAGTGGTACCTTGGGTTAAGAACTTAGTCCGTTCCGGAGGTGCATTCTTAACCCAAATCCGTTTTTATCCTGAGACGCGCTTTCGCTCGAATCCCGGGGCAAAGTTCGCTACCAGGAGACCTACTTCCAGGTTAGCGGAGATCGTTACCCAAAGCGTTCGTAAGGAGGACGGTACATAACCCGAGTTTCCACTGTAGGATATAAATCTTCTCCGATTCTTCTCACGTTTTCCATGCCCTCACTACCAAGCAAGGAGATTTGGGTCTCATTGCTCCAAATAACACTGTCCCATTCTTCCGCTGTCCAGTTAACATGGGTTTTAGTCCAGTTTAATCTTTCAACCTTTGCTTGAGAGATAACAATGGCCTTTTCCTTAGAATTCTAGCATTTAGACCAGTCCTTGCACTCAGCTTCACATTACATTGCGTCATGTCATCTTGTATACACCCAGATGATTTTCTTCTGTCACGTAGGCACAGTCTCTTCATTCTTCGATAATCACTTGCTGTTGTGCAAGTTTTCTTGCCTTTACCAGCCTGATTCTGCAGTGACTAAGTCTCCTTATACTTCTTCAAAAATATAGGAATGCCAGCTTCGCTTATGTTTCCCAAAATCTTTCTTCTTATTTCTTCATAAGTGTAGCCTTGTTCACTTAATAGAAGAAGAGGAGAAGAAGAAGAAGAAGAAGAAGAAGAAGAAGAAGAAGAAGAAGAAGAAGAAGAAGAAGATAGTAGTAGTAGTAGTAGTAGTAGTAGTAGTAGTAGTTTGGATTTGACATCCCGCTTTATCACTACCCTAAGGAGTCTCAAAGTGGCTAACATTCTCCTTTCCCTTCCTCCCCCACAACAAACACTCTGTGAGGTGAGTGGGGCTGAGAGACTTCAGAGAAGTGTGACTAGCCCAAGGTCACCCAGCAGCTGCAGGCGGAGGAGCGGGGAAGTGAACCCGGTTCACCAGATTACGAGTCCACCGCTCTTAACCACTACACCACATTGGCTATTTTACATCGCTTTCTGCGTAACAGTCAACTCTTTGTGCCATTTCTTTAATTTTATTATACTATAGAAACTCACTAAATGAAAAAACACAAAAACCAATCAATGATAGCAATCACATAACACGCTGAGAAAAGTTAACCTAAGCAAGTTGTACTTCCTTTTTCTAGTTATTTGGCTATAGGTTTTGATAGAATACAGATAATTGAACAAACGTAGTTGCATTACATTCTTGATTGAATTATCTTTCCATTGATATATGATTTTATGATATTACTCCAAAAGAAGTGGTGTTATAAGCCATCAAACCTCTGAAAAACACTTTTCCCCCCAAAAGGCTTCAACATTTTAGACCACTAATGTATATCAAACCAAGCAACATTCAACAACCCATCAGAGTCTAATAATGAATATATTGGTTAATGACAAACAACAAAGGTAATGAACATCCCCCCCCAATTCCCTTCAGTTCTTTTCCATTTGTTCCTGAGGCTCAAACCCATTTTTGTCTGCATTGCAGATTGTGATGAATTGGAAATCGAGAACAATGGTGACCACAACAAAATCCTCAAAGAGGAGAAGCCATGTAAAAATTTGGAGCGTGGGGAGAGCTGCAGTCAGAGCTCCCATTCCACTTCCTATCAACAAAATCTCATTGGAAAGAAACCCTATCAGTCCATGGAGTGTGGAAAGAGCTTCAGGAACAGCTTCTCTTTGAGTTCCCATCGAAGAATTCATACAGGGGAGAAACCCTACCAGTGTGTGGAATGTGGAAAGAGCTTCAGTAAGAGCTCCAATCTCACTAAGCATCAGAGAATTCATACAGGGGAGAAACCCTATCAGTGTTTGGAATGTGGAAAGAGCTTCACTGAAAGCTACAAACTCACTTCCCATCAGAGAATTCATACAGGAGAGAAACCCTATCAGTGTGTGGAATGTGGAAAGAGCTTCAGTTCGGGCTCCAATCTCACTTCCCATCAGAGAATTCATACAGGAGAGAAACCCTATCAGTGTGTGGAATGTGGAAAGAGCTTCAGTAGGAGAACCGATCTCACTTCCCATCAAAGAATTCATGCAGGGCAAATACTCAATCAGTGTGCAGAATGTGGAAAGAGCTTTAGTAAGAGCTCCAATCTCACTTCCCATCAGAGAATTCATACAGGGGAGAAACCCTATCAGTGCATGGAATGTGCAAAAAGCTTCAGGAGGAGCTCCGATCTCACTTCCCATCAGAGAATTCATACAGGGGAGAAACCCTATCAGTGCCTGGAATGTGGCAAGAGCTTCAGTTGGAGCACCGATCTCACATCCCATCAAAGAATTCATACAGGGGAGAAACCCTATCAGTGTGTGGAATGTGGAAAGAGCTTCAGTAAGAGCTCCAATCTCACTAAGCATCAGAGAATTCATACAGGGGAGAAACCCTATCAGTGTTTGGAATGTGGAAAGAGCTTCAGGAAGAGCTCCAATCTCACTTTCCATCAAAGAATTCATAGGGAGAAACCCTATCAGTGTTTGGAATGTGGAAAGAGCTTCACTGAAAGCTACAAACTCACTTCCCATCAGAGAATTCATACAGGAGAGAAACCCTATCAGTGTGTGGAATGTGGAAAGAGCTTCAGTAGGAGAACCGATCTCACTTCCCATCAAAGAATTCATACAGGGCAAATACTCAATCAGTGTGCAGAATGTTCAAAGAGCTTCAGTAAGAGCTCCAATCTCACTTCCCATCAGAGAATTCATAAGGGAGAGAAACCCTATCAGTGTGTGGAATGTGGAAAGAGCTTCAGTAGGAGAACCGATCTCACTTCCCATCAAAGAATTCATACAGGGCAAATACTCAATCAGTGTGCAGAATGTGGAAAGAGCTTCAGTAAGAGCTCCAATCTCACTTCCCATCAGAGAATTCATACAGGGGAGAAACCCTATCAGTGCGTGGAATGTGGAAAGAGCTTCAGGAGGAGCTCCGATCTCACTTCCCATCAGAGAACTCATACAGGGGAGAAACCCTATCAGTGCCTGGAATGTGGCAAGAGCTTCAGTTGGAGCTCCGATCTCACTTCCCATCAGAGAATTCATACAGGGGAGAAACCCTATCAGTGCCTGGAATGTGGAAAGAGCTTCAGGAGGAGCTCCGATCTCACTTCCCATCAAAGAATTCATTCAGAGGTCAGAAAAACTATTATACAGCTTTAGGAGTCTGTCAAATAGGCACCTTTTTAACCAGACCTTTGGCTGATTGACATCTAACGCCTTTTAAAATTTGGTGGGGAGTGGGGTTACAGATGTGTATCTTGTGTTTTTATGTTGTAACTGTCCTGAGACCTGTAGGTGTAGGGAATAGGCGCCAACTCTTAAAGGCTGATGGGTCTTTGCCCCCCCAATAAAATATTTGAGGGGGGCACCCCCCAGTTGATAGGCATTGCCATTCAAATAACATGCATGCATCACATCATGTGATTTATTATGCGAGGAGAAACTTACTAAACCCCTTCTATCTTTTATTCAAGTTGGCACCCCTGGTATAGGGTGGTATAGAAATTAATTAAATGCATAAATAAAATAAGACCATCTTGGTCGCCTTCATTTGCACATGTTCCAGCTTGCCAATATCCTTCTTATTATCATTTTTAAAAATTATGTGCCCATCATCTGAGGATTTCAAGGTGGTCCACAACATAAACATACAGGTTGAAAGCATGGCTTTCTCAAAAACAAGGAAAGCCAGAGAAATCTCTCTTTTCTTTTTTGGGATGGAGTTAGAAACTTTGTTAATCAGGGGACTGCTGTTGGTATTTTTGACTACGTGCCATTCTGTGCAGCTTCACACAGAGTCAATTGAGTTGGCTGAAGGCCAAGGAGACTGAGCAGAGGGGAGTAATTCTGCCTGGAGATATGAAACCTTGGATACAGCTTTACCATTGGTTGAGAGTTCACGCAGGCATGATGACTTATGACCTTACTGACTGGAGTGTGTGTTGGTTGGTGTGGTGTTCTGAGAGAAAAGAGTCGTTTGGAGTTTGTTAAGAGAGAGCTAGTTAAGATCTGTATCTGTTCTTGTATATAGTAACTTGTAGAGTCTGCTGAAAATAATAAACACCTCTAAGTAACCATGTTACCGGTTGCAGCATTTTGTTCCTGCTTCATCCATCCTGCCTGCAACTGATTGCTTTCTGGAACTCTCCGTCAGGGTAGCGGCCGGTCCTGATCCCCCGCTCCCTGTTCCGCCCGAAGGTGAGTACTTCTCCTGTGAGTACTCAGGTCGCTCCTTATCTCAGACCTTAGTCTCTGCAGCTCGGGAGATGTCAGTGGGTTACTAGGCCCAGGGGCCACCTCAGCCTCCCCTGACCAAACCGGTAGTGGAGCAGCTGTAAGTGATGGCCCAGCTGAAGGCAATGAGGTCATCCCTGCATCTGGAGCCAGGGCAGGCTCGGGCTCCTGACTGCCCGGCTGGTGTTTGTTGCAGGGGAACCTGTGCAGACTGGGACTTTTCAGGATCAGGCCCCAGACTTGGTTCAGATGATGCCTGAGGCAAAGGATCGGGTGCAGACTGAGTCTCCTCTGGTTCCAAGTCCGAGCCCAAGTCCCAGACCATCACAATGGCAGTATAAAAAAACCAAGAATTAAACACAAATTTATAACAGGTAAAAAACATAGAGGTGGACTGGTGCTACCTGACCTAAATTCATATTACAATGTTTAAATTGGCTAAAATAGTGGATTGTATTAAAAGATGGTGATTTAGAAGGGTTTAATAGTTGGCCATGCTATACAATTTGAGGATTGGGAGAATTTATGGAAAGAGGGTCTGGACTTTACTGCGTGTATGACTGTGAAAGAGAACGTCATGAAGATGTTTTACAGGTGGTACATAACACCTGTGAAATTGTCAAAAATGTACAAAGTAGACAGCAAATGTTGGAAATGTGAGGAGAAGGAGGGTGTTTTTTACCACATGTGGTGGGAATGTGGGAGAGTGAGAGAATTTTGGGAAGAAGTATATATTGAACTAAAGAAGGTCCTAAAGTACACATTCACCAAAAAACCCGAAATCTTCCTGTTAGGAATACTAGGGAATGAAATCAAAAAGAAAGATCATAAATTTATGTACTATGCAGTAACAGCAGCAAGGATAGTCCTTGCTCAGAAGTGGAAAAAAAAGGAAATGCCAACAATAGAGGAGTGGAGATCTAAGTTATTAGACTACGCGGATTTGGATAGATTAACGGGAAAGATCAGACATCTAAGAGACCAAAAGTTTGCAAAGGACTGGGGGAAATATGCAGATTACTTGGAACATCTTAGTGAAGGTCAAATAACGTTAAGGGGATTCAGAGAAGCACTGTGAAAGAGGAAGAGGTATTGTTCAAGGAAAATAGAGGTAGAAGAGTATCTAATGGCAATACATACTAGGTAATGTGTATCTTAGAATCTTATTACGGAAGATTCACGGGCGGGCTGAAGGAAGTCCTGAAAGTGATGACTATGTCAATTTGATAGATGGAAAATTTTTACTGTATATACGGTGTATCTGTTTGTGCTGTTATTTCTTCTCTTTATTCCTTGGCTTTGATATTTCATTCTTTTTTTTTTCTTTTTTTTTTTTTACTTTTGGAAAATTAATAAATACTTATCTGCAAAAAAAAAAATAGAAGGGTTTAATAGTTGTTATGTTTGGCATGCGTATTTAGCTTACGAAAAAGGGAAATTACACAGGGATTTACGAATCATGTCACAAGGAAGCCATTATATAAAACATGGACAAAATAGAAGGATCTCCTAGAACCGAAAACGCCATGGTGGGCATCACCTCTAGAAGCAATTACAATAAAAAAGAAAATATGGAATTAGAATGGGCCACATATTAAGATCTGATTAAAGAAAAAGACAATAAATTGGTAATTAAAGATTATGAGGAAACACCTTATGAGTTGGATCCAATACCATCAATTGTGTTCAGGACAGATAAGAAAAATGGTTTCTCAAATGAACCTTCATGATTAGAAAAAGGGTTATTACAAAACCAAACCAAGGTAATATAAAAAATGTGTGATACATTATTGGAGTGGGAGGTCAAAGATGAACAGGTCAAGGAGGTAATGATCAAGTGGGCTTTATATATTGGGAAAACCATTAACAGCATTAACAGACTCTGGGGTTGCAGTGCTCATCTCGCTTTACTGGCCAAGGGAGCAGGCGTACAGCTTCCGGGTCATGTGGCCAGCATGACTAAGCTGCTTCTGGCGAACCAGAGCATCACACGGAAACGGCGTTCACCTTCCTGCTGGAGCGATACCTATTTATCTACTTGCACTTTGATGTGCTTTAGAACTGCTAGGTTGGCAGGAGCAGGGACTGAGCAACAGGAGCTCAACCCATAGCAGGGATTCGAACCGCCGACCTTCTGATCAGCAAGTTCTAGGCTCTGTGGTTTAACCCACAGCGCCACCCGCGTCCCAATACTTTCTTATGCATGCTTTTTATGCTAATATACAAAAGTATATCATTTCCCCTTGCAGAAATGCTGAATTGCTAATTCAAGGGACACTGAAGTAATTGCAGAGATGACAGGACAGCTTTCCAGATTAGTTAGCTGGGAGTGAGACAGTTGACAGAGTGGCATTGGGCTCGCTAAGACGCCAACTACTACAGGAGTTACTTTATTGAGCCTTTTTAGCACTGCAATATCATTGGTTGTGTTTAGAATAGATTTATGAAAGATTTAGAAAACTTATTGATTAGAATATTTGTATGAGATTGTATGGGAAAAATACGGAATAACAGATACAATTTTGCTTAAAATGTATGTAGGAAGTGCAGTGTAAGTGATGGAAGTCAATCAGTGAAATTTTATTATTGAGATATTTGTAGAATAAACTTGGAAGAAATTCTTCCAATTTTTCTTCTTTTGTCCTTTTTTCTTTTTCTTTTCTTCCTTTTTTCTTTTTTTGTTCATTTTATATATCTGTGCTTATCTGAAATATTTGCAGTATTTTGTTTATATTTTGTAATAATTATGTTAAATAAAATTTAATAATAATAATAATAGAGTTGCCAACTACTACAGGAATTGCTTTCTTGGGCCTTTTTAGCACTGTAATACCATTTTTTGAAAAAATATAAAAAGGTTGCTTTTTAAGTCATGGCAGAGTGTGAGCAAATACTCCACATCTGCCAAGCTTTCAGGAACAGGACTAAGGGGTGAAATGAAGCCCCCCAGACCCCCAAAGGTTGAGGGAAAGGGTTTATCTCCCGTCTTCCTTTTCATTATCAGTTCTTTCCACCTAAGAAATGGGAAGAAAGCAGCTGCTCATGTAAAGGGCAGGGTTTGTTGGGGTGGAGATTAATGAGCTGATGATGGTATGATTTGTCAGCAATGAATATTATTTGTTCATATATACATATACATATACATATATGTGTGTGTGTCTTTTATTTACAGCATAACACAACCCCCACATACACAAATCCACCCTCATTAAAAATGAACATAACATACAATACAAACAACCAAATAAAAGACTTCCTTTATTCTGTATCTGGCCTCCTTATTTACTTCTTATAAACTGTTTCCTTTATGAATAATTATTAAGATTTTTCTAATTATAACTTCAGTTACAGATAGGTAGCCGTGTTGGTCTGCCATAGTCAAAATAAAAAAATCCTTCCAGTAGCACCTTAAAGACCAACTAAGTTAGTTCTTGGTATGAGCTTTCGTGTGCATGTACACTTCTTCAGATGCACACGAAAGCTCATACCAAGAACTAACTTAGTTGGTCTTTAAGGTGCTACTGGAAGGATTTTTTTTATTTTGTCTAATTATAACTTAAATATCCACAAAGTCTCCTGCAGACATTAATCAAAACAAGTCCAGGTATGTATTTTAGAGCACTGTTTTGTGAAGCATTTCCCCCCTGCTTTTTGAAACTCTTGTCTAGTGTGATCTCTATTGCCTCTATTAATCTAGCCAGTTCAATATACTCTTAACAGTTTGTCTTGCCACTCCTTTTTTGTTGGCACAGTTTCTTTTTTCCAGTTTTTAGCAATTAGGATCCTTGCCGCTCCTGTGGCATAGAGGAGTGTTTTCTGATATTCTCTTGCTATACCTGCATCTGTTATCCCTAGTAGAAAAGCGTCTGTATTTTTCATAAAGTTATATTTAAACATTTTTTTAAGCTCGTCATACACTGTGTTCCAAAAGCTTTTGATTTTTTCACAGGTCCACCAAACATCTATAACTGTCCCTCCTGTTTTACCACACCTCCAGCACAGATTTCTTTTTGTCTTATACAAGCACATCAAAGTGCAAGCAGATAAATAGGTACTGCTCCGGCGGGAAGGTAAACGGCGTTTCCGTGCGCTGCTCTGGTTTGCCAGAAGCGGCTTAGTCATGCTGGCCACATGACCCGGAAGCTGAACGCTGGCTCTCTCGGCCAATAAAGCGAGATGAGCGCCGCAACCCCAGAGTCGGTCATGACTGGACCTAACGGTCAGGGGTCCCTTTATCTTTACCTTAAGAAAGTATTACTCAGTATTACTTCGTGGAAAGCATGGCCTCCATGGGGCTGTCCCTGAATAAGTTTGGTCAAACTCATAGTCGCAAGCATGCCTTAGATCTGGTGTTCACCTCTATGGATATTGCTGATCTGACACTAAGTAAAAGTGAAACAAAAGAAGTGCTATGGTCAGATCACTTCCTGGTGCAACTGGACTTCTCCGCGACCCTTCCTCTCTGCAGGGAGGTGGGATCAATTAGGATGGTCCCCCCCCCACTTAATGGCTCCAAATGGTTTCCAGAGAGTGATAGGGGATGTTTTATCCCACGTTGATGGCCTTTCAGCTCATTCCCTGATGGCCCGCTGGAATGTAGAGTTAACTAGGGGTATTGACTGTCTGGCTCCAAAGCGCCCTCTCCGATTGGATGGAGCCCGGACAACCCATGGTTTTCCCCAGTTCTGAGGGCGATGAAACAATTGCTGAGACTGAAATACCTTGGTTGCACTGGTTGATGAACAGGTGAGAGCTGTTTCCTAGTTCTGCTGGATCTTTGATAGCATGGACCATGCAGTGGCGGAGCTTCATGCTCTGGCATGGGGGGGGGGCGTGGAGAGCAGGCAGGGACCAGGCTGGGGCATGTCCCGGGGGCGGGGCGTGCCACAGGCAGGGGCATGGCACGCGTCCTGGGGGCGGGGCACGCTGCCCACAGGGGTGTGATGCACATCCTGGGGGTGTGATGTCCAGTGTGGGCGGGGGGGGGGCAGCCGAAATGGCACCCCACTGGGATTGTACTGCTGGGGGTGGTGCACTCCCCCCACACTCCTCTTCCTCCGTCAGTGGGACCACAACATCCTTCTGGACTGGCTAGAGGAGCTGGAAGCTGGGGGCATTGTTATATAGTGGTTCCTCTCTTTCCTCCTGGGCCATGTCAAGAAAGTGGTGGGGGGGATGAGTGTTCAGACCCCTGGTTTCTCACTTATGGGGTGCCTCAGGGTTCTGTCCTCTCCCCCATGCTTTTTAACATCTGGGAAGCTGCTGGGAGAGATCATCAGGGGGTTTGGGCTCGGTTTCCATCAATATGCGGATGATACCCAGCTCTACCTGTCTTTTAAATCGGAACCAGTAAAGGCGGTGAAGGTCCTGTGTGAGTGCCTGGAGGCGGTTGGAGGATGGATGGCAGCTAATGGATTGAGGTTGAATCCTGACAAGACAGAAGTTCTGTTCTTGAGGGACAGGGGATGGGCAGGTGTGGGGGACTCCCTGGTCCTGAATGGGGCAACTGTACTGCTGAAGGACTAGGTGCACTGCCTGGGAGTCATTTTGGACTCACAGCTGTCCATGTAGGCGCAGGTCAATTCTGTGTCCAGGGCAGCTGTCTACCAGCTCCATCTAGCACACAGGCTGAGAACCCTACCTGCCCCCAGACAGTCTCACCAAAGCGGTGCATGCTCTAGTTATCTCCTGCTTGGACTACTGCAACACGCTCTACATGGGTTAGAAAAGCAACCAGGAGACTGTAGGCCCTCTCTGCCCCCGTGTCCACACAGGTCAGCTTCATCAGAGCCATGAACTCACAGTACGTGTGCAAGATGACGTTGCTTCTGCAATACGGGAGCCATTTCAGGAAGAAAGGGTGTGGGCTCAGGAGGATGGCCCCCCGTAGCACAATGGTCAGTCCCATCTTGGCAACCACGTCATTGGTCAGGCTCCTCTTTCTTGAAGGGCCCCACAGACCTCATGGGACAGCCGAGAAGATTCCTTTGTTGCTTTTTTCATAAATCAGCAACAGAGGTTGCATTTCCTTATTTACAGGAGGGCTGTTGCTAAAGCACATAACATGCCCTTCACACTTAGTTATGTATTAGGAATACAGGCACAAATTAGTGTGTGTGTGTGTGTGTGTGTTTGCAAACTACCCCTGTCTCTGAGCAGTGAGACTCCTTGGGCCCCAGGCCCATCTTCGGTTTCCTTCGAATGAAGGTCAGCGTAGACTGTGCTGTCTTTATGATACCTAGTTTTATTTACTCACATATTCAACCCGAGTGGAGGATGGAGGGGCTCACAGCATGGACACCCCCAGCACGTCTTGCTTCTCCCCCAAAGCGGCTTAGTCATGCTGGCCACATGACCCGGAAGCTGTACGCCGGCTCCCTCGGTCAATAAAGTGAGATGAGCGCTGCAACCCCAGAGTCATCCGCGACTGGACCTTCACCTTGGCTCCGGCGCAGAGCAAGCCAGTGTCTGTGTCTCCAGCTTCCAGTTCAGCTCATGCACAACTCGCTCTGGCTCTTTCCCTCCTGCAGGTGAGATGGGGGGGGTGGCGGCGATGACATTTCCTGAGTTGCCCCATCCCTTTGCTGCAGTTCTTGCAACCCAGCTCATTCTTTGGGGATGCTGAGGTGGACACTTAACTGGCCAGCAAAGGTCACTGCCTCACCAAGAAACTTGTCTGAACCGTTCACAAAAGTCCCCCATTAGATTCTGACCCTCCCTGGGTACAGGATCCCCAGTAATAGGAGAGGCACAGAAATGGCTCCTCTTTCTTTAAGGGCCCATGTACGTAAATGCCTTTGGCACTACTGTGAGGGTGAGCTTTGAAAATTGAAAATGTTAAGAACCTGCGGTGGGTTTCTGGCAATGGGTTGAGCCGGATTAAGACCTTTAGAGTCCCAAAGCACTTAAAAGATGTTGGTGCCTCCATATATATTGATATATTCAAAGCATATACAATAATAAACCATAAAATAAAATTTTAGTATTTGAAAAAGAATGAAACTGTCAGGCTTGCAGGTGGTTGCTCACGAGTAAACAGCAAGGACTCCGACCTGCTTTTTACAGGTATTACTTAGTGCAAACTATGTACAGTGCAGAAACCCAAAGTTCATGTCTGTCTCAGTAACTTGCAGATTCTGGGAGTGGCTTCTTCCTGTCTCCCCCCCCCCAGTATAAGAACTTAGACACCCCAAATCTCCGCCTCTTTCCTTACGTTTGACCCCCTTACAAAAACTAGGTGACAGAAGCGGCATGCCCGGAGCACGAAGGGCTGGCAGAGAGAGAAAGGAGGCCCCAAGTGCTCTGGGTTCAAGAGCTACAGCCATGCCAGGACCCAGAGAGCCTGGCTCCTTCATTCATGCAGTCAAGCAGTGTATAAATTTCATGAAACAAATGAAATAAACAGGGAGAGGGAAGAGCTTTGGGTCATTATTAACATGGATGGGAACTTATTCTCATAATGTTTAATTGGTTGGTGAAATTGGAAGCCACAAGATGTGGCAAGAACGACAGGCTTGCCAGTTTGGAATGGGGGTCACGTCTCTTCACAGGAGGAGGAGGAGAGTATCTCTGGTTATAATCAGACCTAGCTGTCTAGAGCTTCCAGCTAGAGAGGCAGTCTAGCATGGAAGGTACCTGCGAGAGGACAGGCCACAGGAGTGGGCTGTTGCTGGTGGGCTTCCTGGAGACATCTGCTTGGCCATGGCTCTGGGTGGAAGCCCCTTATCCGGCTATGCCATATCCCTTGCTATATCCAACGCTCCAGCCCAAAGGAAAGAGAAGCATTGCCAGACATTCAAGGGCTGCTCTGCATCATCTTCTTAGGAGAGCCCTGCCCATCCTGGAGAGTGAGGAGACCCCTAGGAGGGACCTCCAAGTCCCAAGGGGTCCCAGAAGAGGAGCAGAACCTGAGGGAGGTGGTGGAGTCTTCCTTGGAGTCAGAGAGACCCCCAGGAAGGAGGAGAAGGCCGTTGGTGTTGGGCAGGTGGAGAGATGCAAGATGGAGCCAGGCAGAGGTGTAGTGGTTGGAGGGCTGGACTAGGAGGATCTGGAGAGCAGGGTTCGGATCCCCACTCAGCCATGGAGCTCCCTGGTGGACCTTGGGCCAGCCTAGCCTGCTTGGCAGGGCTGCTGAGAAGATAAAAATTGGTGGCAGGGAGAACCATGAAGGCCACTTTGAGCTCCTGGGAAGAAAGTGGGCTAGGAATGTCCTAATAAAAGCAGGGAAGAAATGGGGAAGGCAGGGAAAGAGTGTGGAGGAGCTGAGCTCTCTGGAGAAGACTGACCGGATCTTCAGCATCTATCATTGATAGGTGTTCTGTGGTGTTATGCAGCCATAACTTGTGAAATATAACATCCAGCACACCAGCTGTGCCTCAGTTCTGCTCCAGATGTGTTGCAATCCACGATGTGTGCTCTGTGTGGAGGAATCTCAGGCATGCAGAAAACACTCAGCATGCAGCTTCTTCCTAATCTATGAAGCTTTATTTACAGCGGCATAATAAATCAGCAGTCCAGGAGAGTGAGCAGACATTGCTGTCTCTCCTTTGGCAGCAAAAACGAAAGTAACTCATCTCACATAACAAAGCATAGAACCCCATATGTGACACACCCCCAGGGACAGGACATCACTCCGTGAGCTATTAACCCTGTAAGCTCTGGTTCTCCTAACATGTTCATCACGAAGCCCATTCAAAATGATGAATCTGGCTTTGCTGTTCTTTTCTTTCTAAGCTCTTATCTTGGCTAAATCACCCTCACTTGTGCCTGTAGGCTGAGTGCTTCTTACTGAATGCGAACAAACAAACTTAATTAATTAATTACCTTTCTACCTGATTTGGAGTTTAGAATATGTATTTGGGAGCATTCTAGTGCAGTCTCCTTATAAACATGAATATATATATATAAATGTGAAGAGGTGACAATATATGTTTCTGATATCAGTCAATACAACATGCACAAACATGAATAATAAATCCCCTCCTGCCTTCCTGAACATTCCCACACTGACTGTGCTGGAGAACATAACCATCCTCTTCGCCATCAAGACAGAGCCCAGTCTCCACCAGCTCATGGACCTCTTCCTCTCCATGCTGGCCACAAAGGACCTGGTCATCAGCACCTCCACCTTGCCCAAGATACTGGTCATCCCCATTTGGTGCTGAGCAGCCCCTCAGTTCCTTCATCCAAGACATTTATAAAGATGTTGAACAACAACGGGCCCAGGACAGAACCCTCCAGCACCCATCTTGTCACTTCTCCCAGGATGATGAGGAACCATGAAGGAGTCCTCTTTGGGTTCGGTCAGTCAAATCCACCTAAGTTACCTCATTCAGCCCACATTTTACCAGCTTCCTTGCAAAAATATCACTGGGGACTTCGTCAAAATCCTTACTGAAATCAAGATGCACTATTTCCACAGCAGTGCCCTGATCAATGAAGTTTGTAACTCCATCCAAAAAAAAGGGGAGGAGAGATTTCTCTGGCTTGACTTGCTTTTGAGAAAGCCATGCTTTTATCCTGTATGTTTATATTGTGACATCCTCAGATGAAGGGCACATAAATTTTAAAAATGATAATAAATAAGGATATGAACAAACTGTAACATGTGCAAAGGAAGGCAATTCATGTATTTATTTAATTTGTATACCACCCAACCCAGTGGTGCCAACTTGAATAAAATATTGGTGGGCGCCAGGTAAGGCCCGTCTTGACAATCACATGATGCATGCACACAATTGGAAGGGCAATGCCTATCAACTGGGGGCGGTGGCCCCCTCAAATATCTTATTGGGGGGCAAAGACCCCTCAGCCTCTAAGTGTTGGCTCCTATTCTCTACACCCACAGGTCTCAGGACGGTTACAACATAAAAACACAATATAAAAATACAAAATCCACATCTGTAACCCCCCTACCCACCACATTTTAAAAGGGAATTAGATGTTAATCAGCCAAGGACTTCCGGGTTAGCGCCATCGGTAATGGCGGAATTCCTCTGACTAGGAGGAATTTGCTCTGTGGGAACCGGGTCTGGCCGTCACGGCGAAGGTGGAGACCCCTCAAAAATCACAGGCGGGTGAAGCCTGTGAACGTGGGATTCGGTGGGCACCTTTCGCACCCCCCTACTCGCGGGGAAACCCGATTTCAGGGCTCCGGAGTGAAGTGGGGTGAGTGGCGCGGTGCTGTGAATTGACTGCTTTTTCCACGGAGCGAAGCTGCACAGCCGTTGCTGGAGAGCGCTGACTTTTTCCTGTGGACAATTTGATTTTAAAAGCAACTACACGTGAGTAGAATAAATTGGAAGTTTTTAAAGGGAAAAAAGACCTAATTTGGGACTGAAGCAGGGAGGCTCAAACAGGAAGTCCGCCTTCCGCTTTTGTAAATAGATCAAAGCAAAAAGCTTGCAAGCTAAAGTCTTGGAAAGTCGATCGGAAAGGACTAATTTTCCAACATTAAAAAATAGTGAATTCCCCCCCCTTGGAAGCAGGAGAAGAGGGGGAAATTCGACCATATATACCTGCAAGAGAGAGGGAAGGAAGTTAAAATTCCACCGCTCAGAACCTGGGAACGGGCTGCCAACAGAACAATAAGATTGCCGTACTTTGAATGTGTATTGACTGTGAATAGACCATCCGCTGACAGCTAGCTGAGTAAGAGAGATACACTGTTTTCAGCTGCCCCCTTTTGATCTTAAAAAGGAGGAAAAGTAACTGAAAACTGAAACTAACTTTCTTGCTTGAGTTGTGTTTTAAAAGGTGTTATTTTGGATTAATACAAGTACAGATAGCAACTGTTTCCCCCTAGAGGAAGTTTCTGAAACTGTTACAAGAGTTGGATCAGGGGAATTTTCCACTTGTAAGACAAAACTGTGTGACTGTGGACTGACCTTGGATTTTTTAAAGTGTTATGGCAGATGGGAAAGAAAAAGTAGATCTGTCACTCCCAGACAAAACAACAAGGTCTGGGAAGTCTTGGCAGCGAAGAGCGTCAGCATCCGGCCCTTCTGCCTTATCTGTGGCTGTACCAACACAATCTAAATCAAGAGGAATGTCATCAGAAGAAGCTCTAGCGCTTGCATTAAGTAAGATAAATGAATCATTGGAACAACTTAACAAGAAAGCAGATGCTACAAATGCAAAAGTGGATGCTGCAGTTATTAAAATTGATGTAAATACAGAAAGCATAAATAGTTTGGTACAAAAGGTGAATACTAACACAGAAACCATTGAGGAACTGATACAGGAATCTAATTCGACACGACAGACCGCAGAGGAAGCCAAGGAAAAAGTTGCTGCTGTGGAATTTAAGGTAACACAATTGGAAACAGAGAGAGTTCCAGATCTACAGAGGCAACTTCAGGACCATAACTGACGCTTTCTATGATGGAGCTTAAGGAGAAACAGACAAATTTGAGGATCAGAGCTGGACCTGAACTGGAGATGGACAGTTTGATAGACTTTCTCACGCAGGAACTTGCAGAATTTTGGGAGCTGGATTTGGAACAAGAGGAATTTAAAATTGTGAGGGCCTTTAGATTGGGAAGAGGAGGGAAGAAAGAGAAGAACAGAATAAGAGACTGTTTGATTACCCTCAGATCTAAAGAAGAGAGAGACAGAATTTTGGGTTGGCATTACCAGAAGACTTTGGTAATACAACAGTCAAGAGTGGAAATATTTAAAAATATCCCGAAACATCTTTTGGACCTTAGGTCCAATTACAGAGATTTGGTTGTCCTGCTGAGAAGGAACAAAATCATCTTCAGGTGGGAATTTCCCCAAGGCCTATCCTTCAGTTTCAAAGGAAGGAAAATAAAAATAAGATCAGTAGAAGATAAAGCAAAGTTTTTGAATAACTACGAGGAAGATCTGCAGAAGGAACTTGGAAAAGAGTCAAGAGCATCGGACAGAAGACCACCAGACAGAGGATTAGAGTAAAGAGCATTGGACAGAAGATCACCAAAAAGAGGAATAGTGGACATTGCAACATTACCTTTTGGACTGGACGGCCTAGTGACACCGACACTACCAACAGAAGAAGAGCAGGCTGTCAGGGGTTCAGGAGCAGAGGCACAGGAAAGGGAGGAAACAGAGAGCGAGGGGGAGGAATCCGAAGGAAATATGAGCGATGACAGCGGCCCGAGATCTCTGAGTCTTTCCAGTGAATCGGAAGATTCACAGAAAGGGGCGCCAGTGGTCAGAGCAAGGGGGGCGCCTAGGGGGACACCCCAGGAAGAAGGGACCAGAGGGGACTCAGAGAGCAGCAGTTGGAAATCGGGGCCAGCTTCCCCACCAGAGCGCAGTAGGGAGGAGGGGTCCCAGGTATCGGGATCAGGCGGCTCGCCGCAAGCGGGAGGGCATGAGTCAGGATTGGCCACACCTCCATCGGGGAGCGAGGAAACGGTCAAGAGGAAGGTTGAAGGTTGGGCGCGCGCGCCAAGTTCAAATGCACAGGAAGGCGGCACAGTAAGCAGCCCAGATAGGGAGCCAGGTCCTAAAGCCTGCCGCAAGGAGGGAGAAGAGTCCGGGGGGTCAGCGTCAGAAGAGTCCAGGAAGGAAGAGACCACGGGGGGCAGAGGGACCCAGAGGAGGAAGGAAAGACGGAAGAGGTGGAGTAAGGCTAGAGTATTAAGTTGGTGTACAGGAGGCGGAGACTCAGACGGAGCTTCGCCGGTCTAGCTTCTAAGACGTAGAGCTGCGCGCTGGAGCTTGGAAATGGAAACTGTAACTCATAAAGGACTTTTGTACAGTGTTGCCGGCTAGCGTGGTCCTCTGTGAGCTGGGACCTGGAAGCAGCTCTGACACAGGCATTGGGTGCAGTTGGAGGAAAATCAGAGTAATTACATCATGACACTGCAAGTATTATTCTGGAATGTTAATGGACTGAACTCCCCGGGAAAAAGGTGGAGAGTCTTTCATTTATTGAAAAAAGAACAATTGGACTTGATTTGTTTGCAAGAAACACATGTGACAAGGCTACACAGGAAGATATTGAGTAATAAAAGATTGGGCCAAGAATTTATTTCATCAGATAAAGTCAGAAAAAGAGTAGTCCTTTGTGTAAAGGAGAGCCTATCACCAAAATTTATATTTAAAGATGACCAAGGAAGATTTGTCGCAATTGAAATTCAATCACAAGGAGAGAAATTTTTGATAGTAGGCATTTATGCACCAAATGAGGGAAAATCGGAATTTTACAAGAAGTTACATGAGACTCTGATGGACTATATGGATTACAATATGATTTTGATGGGGGACATGAATGGAGTGGTGTCTACAAATATGAACAAGGCACTGAGACAGGTAGTCACCAAGGATGGTAGACTACCAAAGACTTTTTTTTGATATGACTGACAATATGGATTTAGTTGACATCTGGAGAATGAAGAACCCTTTGGGAAGAGAGGGAACTTTCTTCTCTGAGGCCAAAATGACATGGACAAGAATTAACCAAATTTGGGTAACTAGAGGGTTGGCTCCGAAGATTAGAAAAGTGGAAATTTGCCCTAAAACTTACTCCGACCATAATGCTGTGAAGATGGAAATGAAACTAACACCAACTGGTTCCTTTAGATGGAGGATGAATTACACTTTGTTTAGGAACGAAGAAGTGACTAAGAAGGTCCAAAAAACCTTGAGAGATTATTTTGAGATAAATATGAACACCACTATTGAAAAAAGAGTAATCTGGGACGCAAGTAAAGCGGTTATGAGAGGATTTCGGATACAACAGAATGCAATTAAGAAGAGAACTCAAAATGAGAAAAAAGACAAGATTTTGGAGAAAATAAAGGAAGGAGAGAAGAAATTGAGAGTGAAACCAAAGTCGCAGGAGATCCTGAAAGAGATAAAGTTATATCAAGTACAATACATGAAAATGATGAACCAGGAAAAAGAATGGAAAATTAAACAGATGAGACAAAAGACATTTGAATCGGCAAATAAATGTGGGAAACTGCTGGCTTGGCAAATGAAAAAAAGACAAAAACTTAATACCATTACAAATTTGGAAGTGGAAGGAAAGAATATACAGAATCCAGTGGAGATCAGAAAGTGCTTCCAGAGGTACTTTAAACAACTATATGCACAGGAGACGCAGAAAGAAATGGACATTGACCGATTTTTGGAAACAAATGGACTACAAAAAATCTCTCAAGAAAACAAACTA